GCCGTTCGCATCGTCGAACGTGCCTGTCAAACACTGCCGCCATCATGCTTTTCAGTTTGGCAGGCACGTCCGCTGTTTGGCAGGCACGTCCGCTGTTAGAAAGAGAATAGACAAAAAGGGGCATAGGATTCCATACTTGTAAGTATATACGATGGTTAAAAGTGATGAAAACCAATTTAAACTCAAGATGTTTTATTTAAAATTTAAATTTTGTCAAATAAGTAGGAGCTTTGTAGGCAAGAAATGATCATTAACAATCAATTTATTATCATGCTATTAAACATTTTGGGGAAATTAAGAATCCGAGTTTGATGTTCCTTATTCCCTTTTTGGTTTTTGTTTCCAAACTAGAATAAATCCGGGCCTCCAACAAAAGCAACGCCTCCAAACCATACCAAGCTATGTCATACTTAGCATTTACAATTAGGTCTTAACAAAAAATGATTAACACTCCTAAGTTTAAAAAATATATGTGTATGGGCCTCATGCATTAAAAGTGAGCCTAAGCTCAAACTCAGTTTTTGCGCTGATGAAGTGAGCTTAAGCTCGAGAATTCGTACTGAAAATCGAGTCGGAGCTTAAGCTCACTTTTTATGCATGATGTGCTATATGTAAAGAAGTAAACAACAGGATGTCTTTCTGGGAATAAAAAACTGTAAAGGATTTTATTCGTTCGCAACAATTTTAAAACACTTCAAATAGGTACTCACCCAAAGTTGCGTTCCCCAACTCATCTTGTTGGCGCTTTCTGCTGCTTCCTCCGCCAGTTTTGCGATTAGTTCTCAACCCCAAGCAGTGAATCCACAAAAATGAATTTTAGATCCGAAATTTTGTTGGGTTGCTTTCACAATATTCTTACTCAGCGCTCTATGGAAGAGTACTTTATTAGTCTTAAACGAAAGAGTTTTGCAGGTCTTGCACACAATTTAAAAAAAAAAAGTGTACTCATATATGTATGTATGTATGTACTTCTTACTCCTGGTTTTTTGGTGGGGTAGAACACAACCGCCGACACAAAATGCAGGCGGGTTTAGGAGATATTTCAAATACACTCAGGTTTCTATATTGAAACGAAAAAAGAATGGTTACAAAAGAAATGAAACATTAATTTATGAAATGTACATGGTATAATTCCACCATGTGAAATGTATGCGTGTATAAAGAATGCGAGAAGCAAGCAAGAGTACGACGAGCAGGTAGAACGCAATGCTCGGTGCGTTCAGGTAAGACCGGAAAGAAAATACATATGTATGTATGGATGTATCTAAAGCAAACTGGTAATAAAGCCGAAACTGAAATCCAATTCCACAATTGCTCCTCACACATTCAAGTGTATGACGATAGTGACGCTAGTGGTTGCGATTGAGGAGTTTACGCTGTTTTTTTCCTACTGCAATCGCCCCGACGTCCACTTTGCGGACTACTTCTACTGCTGCAGCTCTTATACAATTGTTTTTTTTTTTATTATTCATGTGCAGCAATAGATTTGGTTGTTGTGGTTGTAATTCATTGCCTTGCACACATAAATCAGGTTCAAATACCAAGGAACTCGTGATGAATATAGTTTCAAAAGTGTAAGAAACGTAATAATGGGAAGTAACCAGATAGGCAGCTGATTAATTAAATAAGTAATATTTATTGGTTGTAAGCAGGTGGGAATAAAAACCAAGTTTAAATTTTTAGCAAGACATTTTTTTCCGAATCAAAATTATGTTTTGTCGACGATTTTCTATTTGTTTTTTAATTTTTCTTTTGCATGCTTTTCCCGATTTTCTTCGCACATTTTACGGCCTTGCTTTTATTTTTGATTTTCCGTCTTTTCGACATGAACTTATTCACTGCAAATTTGACATTTTTCGCGAACAGTTTTCACATAACAAATTTTTCGTAAACTGAAGGCATAAACGATAAATGGGAGATAATCTTATTGAATATTTTTTATGATTTTAAAATTTTCACTTTTGTTTTATAGCACTTCTCTGGTGCTCTTCACATTTATTTACTTTTCGTTTATTTGATTTTTCACTGCAGTTTGTAAGAAAATATGCACAAAAATGTAGCACGTTCCAATTTTTACACAGTTGTGGAACTTGAACAAAATCTAAAGATGCTGCTAGAAATATTTATATCACAAGATTCAGTTCTTTACTTCACAGATTTTCCATTGTCGCGTCTTCTAATAGCGCGAAATATCAATTTTTCCATTAAACAAGAATCCAATCGCGTTTAGAATAATTTGTAACTTATATCGAATGCAGTTGTGACAATTCCCTTTTCGGTACATTTCTTTTTTGTTGTACTTTGTACACCACATTCGCAGGTGTGCAATTGTATTTGTATATGGATGTGTGTGAATCACCGTCTTCTACCACATTTTTTCATCAATTTTTCCACACATAAATTGCTTTTTAAGTCGAATTCGTCAATTTGCAGCCACCGCCCTTGTGAATTATCACTTAGCACTTACAAATTTTCAGCTCTATTTATGATTTAGCACTGTAAATTTTAGATACAATAATTTTATCTATGGAAATTTTTTCCCAATCACACAAAGAGCAACAACAATAACGCGGCGCTGCAAACAATTTGCCGCAGTCAAACCCCGTTTACCTGGAAATTCACTCGAAAACTGACTCGGATTTTGCTATCAGGTTTTCGCTTTTCTTCATAAACGAACAACACTGGTAGACAGCGTTGCCGTTTGCCTACAATTGTGCCCAAAGTAGCAAAGAACGTGGATCTAAAACAAAGAACGTAAATTTACGTTCTTTGATTTCGGTGAGATTGGCTGAATAGAAATTCATACAAGGTGGCACCGATAGAGCAAAAACTAAAATTACAATGACAAATTATGCCCACAATGAAAGCTTGAATTACCACGAATGTACAACAAACACGTAAATTTGACCCCACCTCTTATGAATACGCCTTGCATTGGCAAAGAACGTAAATCTAGATATACATACATAGATATATATATATTGAATAGAGTTACGTTCTTTGTTCTTAAGGCCCGTTTACATAGAACTTTGGCGTTGCGTTGGCGTTGGCGTCGCTTCAACAGCTGACTATGAATACATGAATTCAAATGCAGCCGTCCACATAGCCAAAATTCGACAACGCTCACGCCAACACAAAGCAAAAAGATGGCCAACTCTCAACTTTTCGCGTGCGTCGCTCGTCAGCTGTTGCGAATAAATAAAATTATGTGAAATATTTTTCCTTTTTAATCAAGTGCGGGCAAGAAATATCGTTTTTAATGCAATTATTGATATGAAATATTAATTTATCTGTCGTTAATATGTTAATTTAGTGGCCCAAGGATTCGCCGCCAAGCGTTCATTGTAGCAAGCATTCTTTTAACGTGCGTTCTGTCAAACCAACGCCAACGCCAACGCAACGCCAAAGTTGTATGTAAACGGGCCTTTATACATTTACGTTCTTTGCAAATACGCCATAAACTGTGTCACACGGCAACACTCGATCGATTTGACAGCGGACAGCGTTTTAGCAGAAATGAAAATTTGATAAAGTGCGGTTAGACATGGCAGTGTACATGCAAGTTGAAATTATTTCTAGAAACCGATTTGCGTTTGCAGGTGCAACTTTTGCAATTTTAATCCCGAAAGTATTTTCTGAAATTATGCAAAGTTTACGCTTGATCATAAACTTTCGCATTTTGACAGCTAAATGCACGAAATAGATTATATGTATAGTCATTTATTGTTTTGTTTTAATTTATTAAAGGTTCAACCTTTGAGCAGTATATAAAAGGAAATCTCGGATTTTGGCATTTCGGAGGGTTGTTAATTTTCCTTCACCGGCTTGCGGAATTTCGTTTGTATCCATACCCGATACATTTTAAGCATTCGACCTCTGTTGACTTGCAATCGTCGATCCACAATGCTTTGCTCTTCTACGAAACCAGCTTTACAAAAGAGTTCTCGTACCTCTTCCTGGGTAAAAAAGTAAACCATTGTACCATCACCACGCACGTAGAAGTTATCTTCCAAACATTTTCCGCTCTTGAAACGCAACTGCGCCATATCATAACGCCCGTAGTCACGGAAAAGCACCAAGCCACCTGGTCGCAAGTAACGGAAGCAGTTATCAGCAATAAGTTTCATTTTCGCCGGCTCAATTGCAGATAGTACAAAAATAAGCACAATTATGTCCAATGAGTTTTCAGCAAAAGGAACTTGCCATTCTTCAAGGGTAGCGTCCATGACAAACACTTCGCATCGTTTGGAATCATATTCCTTGCTCGTGCGTAGTATTTCAATAGCGCGTGCAGAAAAATCACAGCCATAAACTTTTAAATTCGGCTCTTGGCTATATTTCAATATAGGTAATATAGTGTTTCCCACACCACAGCCCAATTCGAATATGCTTCTGGGTTCTTCCACGTTATCTGTTTGCGGCGCAGCAAGTTCTGTGAACTCCGTAAATAACCAATGACGGTCTTTGAAGAAACGGTTTTGATGCACTCCATAGAAAGAATCCCAAAACTTATCGGCATCAGTTTGAAATTTTTCCTTATCTTCCGCTTTCATTTTCTCAGTGGAATTTTTGCTTACCGCCGCAAGCGCTGCACGCTCCTGCTCGTCGTCCCATTCCACATTGTCCCTGTGGATGGTTAAGAATAAGCGAATAATATGATTAGTAGTACGATAATTAAAAAGCTATACCAAGCA